TGCACGTTTCTCTTGTCCCATTTCTCCTATTGCACATGCTTAGATGCACCATTTTCCAAGAAAACAGAGTGATATACAAATAATAAATTGTTCAGGATTGTACTATATGTTTATTACTTATTTATCTCGCTCACCCTTGCTTGTGTGTTGTGTGCTGCTTTTGTATGTTTTCCTTGCGATGATATCCACTTGGATGGGAGCAGATGTTGTTGAGGAGGTTCCCTTGGAGCAAGAGTTAAAGGATGTTGATGTTGCAATATAGTCTTTTTTAGGATTTCTAAATTTAAGTTGGTGTTATTTTAAAATATTCTAAACTATTAAAGTTTTAAGTTCTGTCCTTTACGTGGATGATTATAATGTCAACTACGAAACTACTATTCTCTTTATTGGAATGATGACAGTCTTTTTTTTATATAAATTGTTATATATTTGAGAATGTCACAGTATGTGACCACATTCGAAAGTTTTTTTTTTCCAATTTATTTAATTTATTATATTTTAAATTAATATATAAATATTATTTAAACTTTTTAAAAATTTATTACATAATTATAAATAAATTGGTTTTATTTTATTTAGTAAAATAATTATTATTAATTTAATTTATATATTATTATTTAATTAATTATTATAATACTTTTATATTATTATGTGTCACATCCGTTATGTTTTTCTTTATTATTTTTAGGTTATGGATGTGCTCATATCCGTTGACCGTTGACGGATATCAATAAATTTTTCTAAATCAAAGTGAGATTTTAAACGGTTAATTGATTCAATACAAGAAAGAATTGTAAATTCCATTTATTTATTTTTTCTTTTTAATTCACTTTCTTGAACAAATTTATAATAATTTACAATGTCAGGAATTTTGTAGCGTCTAAAAATTATAAAACATGTTTTTTGACCTTATAATATTTAATATCATTCAATTAAAATAAAAAATGTAGGATTATCAAAGTGAACTAATTTTGTTATCAAGTAAAAATAAGTTAATTTAATTTGCTTCACTTTTTATCATTTTTTTTTATGATTTATAAATTTTGTAATTTTGATTGATGTATCGTAATAATATACAAATTAACCATAAACAGCTTCAGATATATAAATAGGGTGGGGACTCCAGTGAGAAACTAACATGAGATTGAGACGAGCTGGAGAGATATAACTAAAGATGGCAGTGACAGTTGCTAGAATGAAAGTTCCGATGAACTCAGCACCAACCTTTTTTACCATAGGGACAGGAGGAGGCAGAGGCAAAAAGCATGAGACAGGGTGGTAAGGCTCCATCTTCTATGGTCCTATATAGTGGTTGATTGATTTGATTGCTTTTCGCCTAACCTAACCCTTGTTTTTCCTGACCTGCCCTTCCCCAACCCTTGCTTCTTTTCAGTCGCTTGTGTCCAAAACTTTCTATATAAAAACATACAGAGACTATCTACTTATAATATTCCTTAAACATAAGAGACTATCGTTGTAATTGTCTAAGGTAGGAACTGCTACTTTAGTACTATATACTTTATAGCTTCTTCTACTTGAAAGCTTCTATCTTATGGTTTGGGGTATATAATTTATGCTTTTTCTTGTTCGCCATGAAAATTTGAAGATTTTTCATCTGAGGCCAACAATTTATGCCTAAAATTGGTTTAAACCCTTCGTTGGTCCTCAAGTTTGTATGAAAATCTCAGTTGGGTCCTCAAGTTTTTTTCTGTCTCAATTGGGTCATATTTTTTGTAAAAGTGAGCACATTTTGCCATAACCGTTAAGTGTTGTGAAACGGCGTTAAAATGGTGTGAGCTGGAGCACAGAGAATGTGGTGATGTGTTTAGGGTTTCTTACGTGGACTGTTTTGTTTAAAATAATAGTGGTAACGTGGCATAATCCTTTACAGTGTTTCTTTAGTCAAACAAATTTAGCCGTTATCATGCGAATTTGAATCCTGAGAGAGAGAAAGACAAACACAACATGTTACCTTGGAGATACCCATCTGGCATCTGCACCCAAGATCCAATTTTTTTTTGCAAATTATTTAGTTATTTCAGAAAAAAGTTAACAAATTGAAGGTTTTGTCTCAGTGGGGTCATATGGGTCACCCAAAATTTGAATTTTTTTCCCTTTTCTTTCTCCCCTGTTGTTAAAGCTAATACTAACAGTATAAACCCTAAACCCAAAATTTGAATTTTTTTCCCTTTTCTTTCTCAAGAAGAACACACTGCAAGAGAAACAAGACCCAGAATCACCACCACAACATGAAGGTGAAGTCAGGAAAGAGGTATTCATCATCAAACACAGGAAGAGCCACGATGACAGGGAAAGAACAACAGCCTCCAAATCCCTACCTTTCATTGCTCAGTCACCAGCACCACAAAAAGGTGATGGGGCTTCCACCAATGAAGAATCTATCGCTAATATCAAGATTGCGCCTTCCACTCCGAACATTGGTGTGGGAGTGAGGACTTCAAGCTGCACTAAAGAGGAGGTGGATGCAATTCTGATCCAGTGTGGGAGGCTCAGCAGAAGTAGCTCTTGTAGGAAGTACTCGGGCTCTAAGAGAAGTTTTGATTTTGATAACTGTGACAATGACACAACTTCTGCTGAGGATGAACAGAGGAGAGCCAAAGGGTTATGCCACATCACCACTATTATTTTAAACAAAACAGTCCACGTAAGAAACCCTAAACACATCACCACATTCTCTGTGCTCCAGCTCACACCATTTTAACGCCGTTTCACAACACTTAACAGTTATGGCAAAATGTGATCACTTTTACAAAAAATATGACCCAATTGAGACAGAAAAAAACTTGAGGAACCAACTGAGATTTTCATACAAACTTGAGGACCAACGAAGGGTTTAAACCCCTAAAATTTAATTTGATATCAACTTTCTTTGTCAAAACTTAAAACCAAGCTTTTAGTATACTCTGTGGACTGACATTAAACGTGAGAATAAAAACTGAGATGCAATTTGGGCAGTCTACCATCGAAGACATGACCTTGGGATACTCTGTTTTCCTTGTAAACAAGAATATAGTGCATCAAGTATCTTTGACTAATAACTGACTGCTAATAGAAATTTGTTTATTAAGACTTAAAATTGGCTATATCTGCATAAAGCAATAGTATAGTTTAGGTTGTAATAGACAATTCAGCTTTATTTGCTGGTAATTTACAGCATCTGAGATAAATGAAGTTCATGGATGAATTTTGAATTACATGGAATAAACTTAGAATAAACTTGATTTGCCAAAACTAATTGTATGGTATTGTTAGCTGGGTCAGTGCCTGCAATTGATTGCTATTGAGGCATTACAGTTCACAGATGCATGCACCTAACTAAATGTTTTTATAATATGAAACTTTGGTCATCACCTATGCAGATGCTTTGATTACATTGAAGAACTGATCCATAAGCAGGAGCTTTGACAACAGTCTTACGCCTTCTAATCCTATTTTCTATTACTAATTCTGGGTTGCCAAAGAAGCACTTCGATTACCTCAGGCAAGCTTCATGCTTCATTGATACCTTGTCCCATTTTTTTTTTCTTCATTTTGTTACGTTTGTAGATTAATGGGAATCCCTAACCTATAATGTTATTCCCATTTGCTTTTTGTACAATACACTAGCATATTTTATTTTTTGAAGTACTTAGTTTTAATGTATATTTGTAAACTTCTCATTCATTGGAGAGAGCTATTTCATAGCTATTGATTTGAGCACGTAGCAATGCTAAACAATTTAGAGAAAGCTGGATTATTTAAAAAGCAGGTACAATACTCTAGGTGTTTAGTTGCAAGTTCAAATGGGTTATGTATTTGTCATTTAATAATTAACTCTTATTGTGCCTGTGATTCTTGTAGGAGTCAAAAAGCAACTGGCTTACTATAAAACGTGCTTTGCAGCTTGTGGTTGAAGACACCGATACGGCCAAGAAATTTCTTCTAAATGATATCATATGACCATTAGACAGTTGATATATTTTAAATTTTATATTAAATTAATGGTCACAATTTGGATAATATGTGTGAGCATGGTGATGGGTGTGTGCGACAGAAATAAAATACGACATACATATATTTCCATTGTGAAATATGATAACAAATGTTGAACTAAGCATCCAATTCTTTAATATCTGCCCAATCGCATTGAAGATTAATTTAATGTTGCAGTTTATAACTGTTTTTTCTCATGTAATGTTTTTATGTTATTTATAACTGTTTGAATCAAAGACACATATTATCCCATTCACCTTTTTTAGTCGTTATATATATGTTAAAAAACGAATAAGCCTAATATGTTTGCTTTGCAATCACAGTTCACCCCAAATTCAAATAAGACTTTGGGAATTCAAATTCTGGAGTCCCGTACGTGGGTTCTTCAACATGCATCTGGTACTGGATAGGAATTCGGGCATTCATTGGATTTATCTTCCTCTTCGACATTATGTACACTTTGGCTCTCTCACTTACCTAAACTGTGAGTAGTTTCACATTTGTGTGTTTAAGATTCTTGTAGCAAAGAAAAACTTGATTAACACGTCTATATTACTTTTGTGTGTCCAAAACTTTATTTTGGTTGTTGTGACATTTTCGTTTTAATTTTGATATTTCATTAAGACATCAGCTCATAATATTCCTTAAATAACTTCCCCAGAGGTACATAAATCTTGCCCAGCATCTATCAACATTCACTTCAAATCAAAGCCTTCATTTCTTGGGGAACTTGATATGGAACATACGTGGAGTCCCAGAGTTATGACATGTGTGAGTTAATTTTGCATACAGAGACGCTCTTGTATT